GTGTTAATGTTTCCTGTGTGTTAGCAGCTCACGGTGCCTCCTTTTTCTCCAAGTCTGTGCCCCTGTTTTGTAAAGGTGCTGGGCAATCAAGTTCACTCAGCCATGACGACATAACAGGGAGTTAGCCAGGCAGGGTCACGGGCACAGGAAACGCCTGGCCCTGAAGGAGTGAGTCACATGGGAACAGGAACTGATGCGGGCTCTTCCTGAGCAAACACCAGCTCCCCACAGGCATCTAACCAGGCACTCGGCAAAGGGGCTCGCCATCCACTGTTACCCAGAACCCTGGGACTGGTGACGAGGGGCCATGGAACAGGTCATTGGTGTGGGTACCTGGAGCATTGGGCAGGGCATTGCGCCCCCCACAGGTGTGATGAACGAGGTGGGCACAACCTTGGTGTCTCCATACCTGAAGCCCACTAGTGCATGGGTGGGACTTACACACTTCTTCACAACCCCTGGAAGGAATCAAAGAAAAGGGAAAAAAAAAAATCAGAGACAAGCAATACCCATTTGGCTGTACCAAATTCTACTTGGCCTCTTTCAATCAGGGTCCCCTTGGATTTTTCCGCCAGGTCGGGTTGGATGCCCTGGGGCTGAACAACTCAAAGTGGGGAAGCACGATGCTCTGGCCAAAAGGCCACCGAGATGCGAAGCCAAGAGAAAGCACGTGAGGTTGTTCACCCACAGCCATGACGGGGAGGGTGAGCACCTGGTCCTGACACCTCCCACCCTTCGTTCATCTGATTCCCTTAGTAGTTCTAGCATAATAATAGAGAAAAGAGAGGTTAAACTGAAAGGAAACAGAACTAGGAACTAGGAAATAGAACAGAACTAGTATTCCCAAGTCCCCTGCCACCAAGTTGACTCATGGTGACCCTGCAGGACAGGACCGAACTGTGCCTGAGGGCTTGCAAAGCTGCATGCCTTTCATGCACCAGGGCAGCCTCATCTTTGCCCCTGAGAGCAACCGGAGGGTTTCAGCCGCCAGCTTTGCTTACTGCACAGCACCACCAGATGCCCTAGTTCAATGTTAGGGAAATAAAAAGGTAACCAGGTTGAACATACCAAACAGTGTTCCTACATATACAACCAAACAGGAAACAAGCAAGAAGTATCTTTGCTTTTTAAAAAGTTTTCTTTTTTAAGCTATACTCAGAGATTATTATAACAGTTTTATTTTTTTTTCAAAGACCTGGGTTGAGATGAACATTTTTTGGTCATTTATCTTAGTTGAAATTTGTCTGCCCATTAAAAATGGCTTCTACATATTCAGACGAAGTTTTGACATGGACCTGCTCCAGGACGGTAACAGCTGCATACGGAATGCCACCCAGAGACAAGAATGCACACGCAGGTCCCGCTGGGCCCCCAAAGAGCGTGTCTGCGTCTCCGTGCCCTGGCCTCACAATTGCCTTGGCAAAGTTCCATGGCCTTTTGTGTGGCAAAAAAGACAGCTGTGGATTTTCATGTTGAGATCACATCTCTTGTTTTAAATGATTGAAGACATGGAAACTTTTAAAACACACACACACACACACACACACACACACACACACACACACACACACACACTAGCTTTTCCAGTATGTGTGCTTCACTTGGTTTTTAAATATCCTTTACACCTTCTTTTTACATTTTACTATCATCAACTGACTTCAACTTTTTACTCAGATAAAGAGATAGCACTTTTTAGAAAGCATTCCTGTCGTGAAAACAGCTGAGCCCCCATACTGGCTGCAGGAGCTCCTGCAGCAGCTAACCCAAACATGGGCGCTTCAAACTCACCAGTCCCTCTGGAGGAGGAGGGGGCTGCCTCTGGCCATCCTGGGGCCCTTCGACCTTGTCCTTTAGGGTTGCTCTGACACTGAACCCACTCAAAAGAGCAACTGATATAAGGGGTGAGGGGGTGACTCCTGGTGGAGACTGAGCCGACTCCTCATCCTCCACACGCACTTGTGACCCATAGCCGCTCCACAGTTCAGAGGGAAAGGTTCATGGTGCCACGAGGGCCTCATCAGCTGGTGTGATCATTCTCAAATTCTTAGCCCCGGAGCTTAGTCTAGTCATAAACCTGCTGGGCAGTTCACCGGTTCTTCACTGAGAGTTGTGGCAGAGATAGAACAGCCCGAAAGACCAGTAACATTGACTGACTGCGCTTCACAGCGCTGGCGAGCCCTGGTCCGGAGACAACCACTGCTGTTAGCTGCTGTCCAGTCGGCTCATGACCCATAGTGTCTCCACAGCCAGTGGCTCAGACCACTGGGCCCCAGGGTTCTAATGGCTGTTTTTTCTAATAGTCTATGATCAGGCCTTTCTTCCTAGTCTCTCTTGTGGAAGTTCTGCTGAAAGCCGTGTAGCTGTGTTTGCGGTGCGCTGGACCAGGAATTGAACTCAGATTTACTGCATGGAAGGCGGGGATTCCACCACTGAATTGCCTCTGCTCCCTCTTAGGCCTAGACTGTCTGGTATGTGAGTACCAGCTCTTGTTCGCTCTTGGGACATGTCTTGTTTTTATGCACAGTCTCAGCAGGTATGGGGGCTTTCGTCACTTCCAGAAACTACTGCAGCTTCTTCGAGCCTAACTTCATCTATCTATTTATTTTTATTAGAACACATCCAGACAGCGTACAATTCAATAGTTCAGTCATATCAAGAAGTGCTGTACAATCAGTTTCAGAATTCTTTTCTTCCGTCTTGTACTCCTGTTATTAGCTCCCCATTTCCCCACCCCTCTCCCCTGCCGTGCCCCCAAGGAACCCTTAATCCAGTTATTGTCTCTAGGGATTCACCCTTCTTGAGTTTCCAATACTGGAAAACACAGAAAACTAGATAACAAATTGTTAAACAGAGATAAACCCCAGCAGAAATAAACCCCCGCTTGAATGAAGGCAGAAAATACTAAAAACTAGGGCAACTCAAAATGTGTCGAAGGGGAGATAAAATGACAAGGTACTGGATTTTAGCCTCGCTACTTCTGTCCTGATTCACTTTCCAGTGTGTTCTGTATAACAGCAAGGCCATTCACATCTCTGCTCTATGTTCACGGGGAATTCACATGAGACCGCCTAACTCTCAATCCAGCTTCCACAGGACCCCTGCTGGTCGTACTCCAGGGAGCTGTGGGGCTCCGACTGGGCTTGTCCAGTTATTGCTTAGTCTCGGCATGTGCTCCTCCTCCATCTAATTAAGTGATTGCTTCCATTTCTTATGACCTGATGGAAAAAAAACCCAACTTTCAAGTTTGGGCCTTCTGCGCTCGCAGATGAGAGGTTTTTTCACCACACATACTGGTAAAAAGATCGAGCCCTTTTATTTACTTTAAAACCTTGGCCAGCCTTTTGGAAACCAGTTCTTTCCCCCATTATCATTAGACAGTTGAACTCATCTTGACTCAGTTTCCACAGCTCAGACTTAGTAAATCAAAAGCTTCTCGGGCAGGGATGGCTTCCTATAATCATGTCTCAGCAAATTTGAACTCCAGAGAAATGAGATGCTCAGTCTTCCCGTGGAAGGCAGTGTTTCTTTCCTCAGCCTCTGAGCTCAATGCAAATGCTTGGCTCCTTCTTCATTCTCACCCACTCCGTTCCAGAGCACATTCGCCAACCGGGAAAGAAAACGCGCCAGTTGTCAGCGCCACTGGTTTGTCTGCTGAGACTGGAAAGTCCTGCTGAGGGGCCTGCTCCCCCCATCTTCCTTAGAATAAAGAATACTGGATTGCATTCCGTTAATAAAAACCTGTTCTTTAACTAATTGTAGATAGAGAATTCCTGCCCAAGACGAGCTCTGCTTCTGCAACATAATCTTTTATTCATCATTTTGCAGTATAATCTTCATGGCTGTCAGATCTCCCTCCTGGTTCTTCCCGCAGGCGCTCTGTGCTTTACAGATGCTTCATACAATTTCAATGACTGCTTTTGTACCGGGGTCTCAAAAGTCTCTGTCTCCAGAGAGGCTTCCTTTCCACGCTACATACATCCAGTTGCTTTTATGATCTCATCAGTATTTCGTACACAGCTAGAATCCATCATGTCACAGATGTACCTCATTATCATCCCTGTCCATACTCCATCCCCTGCCCCCGAGCCGTTTTCAATTCAAAGCAACCCTGTATAGGGGTTCGAAGCCTTTGTAAACCTTATAGGAGCCGGCAGTTTCATCTTCCTCCCTTGGAGCGGCTGGTGGGCTTGAACTATGAACTTTGTGGTTAAGAGTCCTATGTTGACCCAGTATCGCCACCAGGGCTCCTCCTGTAAGAACAGAGCCACTATTGACTTGATGATCCAAGTCAAAGGCCTGGGTGTCAGTCATCCCAAGCGACTCCTCTGTCTCTTCATTGCCCCTTTCCAGCCAATCAATAAGTAACCTGGAGCCGTCTCATGTTCCGCTTGAGAGCATCCATGTTTCTCCATCCTCGCCGCCATGATCATTTCCCACTGACAACGGCCTCCTAATGGAAATCCCAGCCTTCAGCCCCACATTGCCACCACCAGTCCAGAGTCGTGCTTCACAGAGTGAGAAGAGGAATCGTGTAAAACGGCAAGAAAGGTTGTGTTTCTCCCTGCCTTGAACCAGATATGATTCCTCTATCCTCGTAGTAAAGCTCAGATTCCTGAGCATGGCTTATGACGCCCTTTATGAGCTGGTCCAAACACTCACCTCTGGAAGAGTTTTAATATTTTCCACTCTTCTTTTGCATTCTAGGTGCCTGTCCTACTCGTATCTCCACCACTAGACATATCGACATGCATTATTTTAACTATCTCCAAGGTTCCCCTCCTACCTTGATCTTCCACTGGATTCCACCTGGCTGATTCTTTCAGGAATCAAGTGCTCAAGGAATTCTTGGGCAAACCTCTCAGATCTAGCCACATTGGCCTCTTTGCTATTCCTCCAACATGCCTACATCCTCTAGTCTCAGGCCTTTGTACTACTGTTCCCTCTACTTAGAATTCCCTTCCCCAGGACAATCTCACGGATTGCCTTCTTTTATGTCTTTCTTCCTTCGTGCCACCATTCCAGGGAGTTCTGTTCTGACCTCCACAGTGAACACTGCAATCTCCATGCTCATGGTCTTGACCTCCTCAGGGATTGATTTGTTTTCCTTTCCTCATTAGGATGTAATCCCATAAGACCAGAACTCAAGCACATCGTAGCCGTTGTTGTTGTTGTTAGGTGCCGTTGAGTCAGTTGTGACTCCCAACAACTGTGTGAGTACAACAGTACCAATTACCACTTGGTCCTGTGCCATCCCCAGGATGGCTCTTAGGTTGGAGCCCATTGTGGCAGCCATGGTGTCAACCCATCTCACCCAGGGCCTTCCTCTATTTCACTGCCTCTCCACTTTCCCAAGCATGATGTCCTTCTCCAAGGACTGGTCTCTTCTGATACGTGCCTAAAGCACAGGAGTCCAAGTCTTGCCTTTCATGTCTCCAAGGAGCATTCTGGCTGTACTTCTTCTAAGACATATTTGTTTGCTCTTTTGGCAGGCCTTGGTACTTCCAATCTTCTTCACCAACACCATCGTTCAAATCCATCGATTTTTCCTCAGTCTTTTTTATTCAATGTCCAACCTTGGATCTGGCACACTGTCATCTTCAAAGGTGACTTTTCAAATCTGCTTTTCAAAACTTTGAAGGGGTCATTTACCTAATGATCTCTTGACCGCTGCTTCCCTGAGCATTGGTTATGGATCCAAGCAAGATGAAATCGTTGACAACTTCAATCTTTTCTCCTTTTATCATGAGGTCACCTATGACTCCAGTTGTGAGGGTTTTTGTTTTCTTTACACGGAGCTGTATTCCATCGTGAAGGCTGCAGTCCTTGACCTTCATCAGCAAGTGCTTCAAGTTCTCCTCAGTTTTGGCAAGCAAGGTGGTTTCATCTGCATATCACAGGTATTAATAAGAGTTCCTGGAATCCTGAGAAGTCAGTCTTCTTCATATAATCTAGCTTCTCTGATTACTTGCTCAGCAGACAAACTGAATAATTGTGGTAAGAGGATATAACTCTGATGCACACTTTTCCTGATTTTAAATCATGTAATATTCCCCTGTTCTGTTCACACAACTTGATCCATGTACAGGTTCCCAAGAGCACACTGAATGTCTCAGAATTTCCATTCTTCTCAAGGTTATCCATAGTGTATTATGACCCACGCAGTCGAATGTCTTTGCACAGTCAATGGCACATAAATAGACACTGTTCTAGTGTTCTCTCCCTCCAGCCAAGACGGCATCCAGCATGACCTCTGGCAACTTCCTGTCACTGTACTGCTGCAACTGCTATTGAATGATAGCCAGCAACATTTTACATGCATGTGATATATCAATGATACTGTCATATGATTTGAGCATTCTCTTGAGTCACCTCTCCCTGGAATGGATACAAATATGGATCTCTTCTAGTCACAGTTGGCCAAAAAGCTGTCTTCCAAATTTCCTTGTATAGACCTGTGAGTGTTTCATGAGCTTACTGGAACAATTCATTTGATGTCTATCAATCCTGGAGCCTTGCTTTTGGCTAATGTTTTCAGTGCAGCTTGTATTTTCCCGTCAGTACTAGTGGTTGCTCAGATGCTACCTGGTGGAAAGGCAGAATTTTGATCATTCGTTTGGCTTGGGGATGCTGAGTATTCTTGCCGTCCTCTCTGGACGCTTCCTGTGTCCTTCAATGTTTTGCTAATAAAATTTTTCAATATTGCAACTTGAGGATTGACATTTTTGTTAATTCTTTCCAGTTCAGATATGCTGAACATGTTCTTCCTTCCTGGTTTTCTAACTCTATGTTTTCACACATTTCAGTTGGTCCTCTTGAGCTGCCCTTTGAAATTTTCCATTCAGTTTTTTTACTTTATCATTTCTTCCATTGGCCTTAGCTACTCAGTGATTACACGCATGTTTCCTAGTCTCTTCTGACAGCCACTTTGACCTTTCCTTTCTTCCGGTCTCCTTAGTGACCCTGGGCTTACTTCATGTGTGGTGGTCTTGCTGTCAGGTCTTCTGTCACTAGTGTCCGATGAACCAAATCTGTTCTTGAGATTCGGGTGGTCCTTGACTTGTCTTAGTTTTTCTCAACTCCCCCCTGAACTTAAACATGAGCAAGCGAGGTTCTGTGTCACAATCATCCCCTGGCCTGGCTTTAGCTGCTGGGATTAAGTTTCTCCATCGTCTCTTCCCACAGATGTAGTTATTTAGCTTTTTGTGTATTCCAGCTGGAGAAGCCACATGCATGTCTCCTTTTGTGTTACTGAAAAGAAGTATTCGTGCTGAAGAACTCATTCTTGCAAAGTTCTATCATGCGTTCGCTAGCTTTGTTCCATCACTAAGATTATATTTTCCAACTACGGTTCTTTCCTCTGCTTCCAACTTTTGTATTTCCACGTTGGTTCCAACTTTTTAAATTATCAGTGCATCTTGATTTCATGTTTGATCGACTTCTGACTGAAGATGTTGGTAGAATGCTCCAATTTCTGCATCACTAGCTTTAGTGGTTTATGCATAAATTTAAAAGATATTTATGTTGATTGGATTCCCTTGTATTAGGATAGACATTATCCTATCACAGACAGTATTGTACTTCAAGATAGACCTTGAAATGTCCTTTTAAATGATTATTGCGGTGCCATTTCTCTTGAATCTCTCATTCCCACTATAGAAAGGCATGGTTTTTGGTTCCAAAATGGCCGACACCTGTCCATTTCAGCTCACCAACATACCTAGAATACCAAGCTTTGCTGTGTTCCATTGAATTTTTAAAGACTTTCAATTTTCCTATTGCAAGGTCCAATTATTGGTAGATTTTTGCAGTTTTTCCTTCTCATTTGAGTCATGCCCCATTAGCAAATGAAGGTCTGACAGGTTTTACTCCCACGGGCGTTACTATCTGGGCCATTGTTGTCTAATCTACCTTGAGAAGGCATCTCAGTCATATTTTGAGTGCCGTCGGTCCTGAAGGACTGACTCATCTTCTGGAACTATCTCTGAGAATTCATCCGGTTTTCAGTATCCGACGATGCTTTGAGGCTCTCCATGGGGTTTTCAGTTCCTCTGAGGGTGACGGCCTGTTCTTCCTCCATCGTCTGTCCTTAGTCTGGAGCTCTGCTGAACCGGTTCTCTTTGGGTGACTCTGCTGGTATCCGAACCACCAGTTACATAGCTTCCAGCATGGGAGCAACATCCGAGCCGCAACAGCGTGACAAACTGAGAGAAAACTGGTGGAATATTACATGCATGGAACATAGTATATAATAACACTGGTTTACTTAACAAAGTAGAGATGAAAATTTGGGGCCACAAATACAGGGAGAAACCTGTCATCATTTTATTTGAGAACCAGAATACCTCAGTATTGCTTTTGTGAGGTTCACATTCTAAGCAAAGTTTAGTTTGAGAACCTCTGACCTTCATATCAAGGTATTTCATGAAATAGGGTTACAACATATAACACAGTTACCTGGAAAATAAAAGCCATTTTCATCACATCTTGCAATAACTTTCTGGCCTTTGAGGGGATCTAGTTTTCTAGACTTGCTCTTCTTTGTTGGGCCTCCGTGTGGTTTCTGCTGCTAAAAATATAAAATGGTAATGATTGAGAAGAAAAGGTCAATGGTAATAGTGAAAGTCAGAGACAATCGGGTAGCTTGGGACTCTGATCTGAGAAACACATTACTAGTAATTCAGAGCATACACATATCATATACCCATTATGAACTAATTAAATTGATTCTATTACCTAAGGTACCCTTATGGAAAGAATAATGTCTGCCTTTGTGATTTTTATACTTAGCCCAAAGTAAAAGGAGATTTAGGTGACTAATTGAAGAAAGGGGAAATAAAAAGGAAGTGTATCTATCTGCAATAAGTTCCTGAAAGTCTACAAAACCTCTTGACTGGAAAGGAGAAGAGTTTCATCTTGAGAACCCTGGCCCGTGTTGCTGCATCCCTAGCGTCAGGAGAGGGTGACTGGGTCTGTCAACGGAAAAGCTAATCATCAGTAATTATGAGACAGCATGGTGCGTAGGAGTGATGGGTTACTCATTGGGCTGTTAACCACAAGATCAGCTGTTTGTACCCACCAGCTGCTCCCTGGGATAAAGATGAGGCTTCCTACTTCCCTAAAGAGTTACAGTCTTGGAAACCGACAGGGGCGATTCTACCCTGTTCTAGAGGGCTGCTGTGAGTTGGAAATCAACTCAATGGCAGTGAGTTTTGGATGTTTGGTAGAAACACTATATTCCACTTCACCTCTTTAGAGTAAAGAACCACCCCCATTGTTTCACAAAGAGGGGGAAAATTCCTGGGCAAATTGGCTACTAAAATGTTCCTCATATCTTTGATTTGAGCAATATTGGGTGCTAAACTCCTATCAAAGTTCTGTGAGAGAAGATACATTTTAATCTAGAATTCTAAACCCAAATTGATAGGCAAACTATCAATTTATTATTAATGGCAAAATAAAGACATTTCTAGTCTTGTCTGTTAAGGTATTAGAAACGCTCTTCTCCCATTTATTGAATCTGAGGAAGTTATTTGAAAAGGATACTCCATCAATCCAGGAAACAATATGACTCATCCCCAGAGAACAGGGGAGGGAACTTTCCAGGTGACAGTGTGGAGGAACCATAGATAACCATAAGTCTTCCAGAAAAAAAAACACACAAGGACTAAGAATTCTGAAAATACATATGTAAGATATACAAAAATAATGACTCAAATATGGAACAAGGGACATTTTAATTCTAAACAATTGAGGTGTTTAAGGTGATAGAAGCCTTTTGCTTAATGTTAATAACCTTCTTCATTTGGACAAGGAGGACGCCACATAGGACTTTATTCACTTATTTATTTATGATAGGGTAAAACTTTCTTCTTTTTAAAATCACTTTATTGGGGCTCATACAACTCTTATCACAATCCATC